TATACTGTCAAAACAGGATATTAAAATAATTCTTCACCGAATAGATATAACAAAGGTTATGTTAAAATAGTGATATCCTTTTTGTTATAACAAACTGTTCTATCTCACTTGCTGTTTGTGCCATAACGTTAAAACTCTTTAAGAGAAAATAATACATTTATGTAAACTCAAAGTTATAGAGAATATTAATTTTGTTATTTTTTTAACATTATCCATTATGTTTATAATTTTGGGTAATTCTGTAATTTCATAAACAATTATAAAATTGAACTATTAATTAATTTGTAAAAAAGTCAACTTGAGGTAAAATTACATAGTTCTTATCTAAGTGATTAATAGCTAACTGTTACAAAATTATTATTGAAAGTAGCTACTTTGGATGTAATTCATATAGAACTTATTTAAGATTATTGTTAGGGAAGGATATAATTAAGATCTCTGGTTGGAATATTTATTGATGATTAATATATCTTTTCAGTCCTTTATTCTCTCTAATACTTTTAATATCAATTGAAAATAATAAATAACAGTTTATGAGAATATTACCAAGATTGGGTAATTTTAAAAATCATTCAATCCCAATGTTTAACTTTGTTATCATTAAGATTATTAGTAAGTTTAATTTTTTTAAAAATTATTTAAATGTATCTTTCTTCTTATCTTTGTTATTATTTATATAATTACCTTTTTCTAAACTAAAGGAATTAATTATGATGACTGTACTCTGTTTATATTATAAATATAATAGTGTATACGTCTATAAATATTAATTTATAAACGAAGTTTCTAACATCTCAATATTATTCAAATATTTAAATACTAATAAAAAACACATATTATTCAAAAAATTATAAGAAAATGATTAAAATTATAATTGTAATATTTTAATGAATATCAAATTAACTTTTGCTTTTGTTTTAAGTCTTCTAAAATGCAACTTCCTTTGGATTTAAACAATGGTTTTAAATCTATCCCTTAATAATTAATGAATTGTCCTTATAAGATAAGTGTTCCTGATGCTTCTAACCAAGGATTCTAACAGATTACAAGTATAGTACAATAAGGATTAACTAAAAATAATTAATAATAAATACCATTTGGCAATAAGGAGCTATTCTGAAGAGGTATGTTGAACTAGGCAAGCAAATCTTTATAGTTACTATCTGATTGAAGTATTTCCTTTGATGTTTTTACATTCCAAAGTCGGATAGAGTTATCATAACAACCAGAAGCTAGTGTATTTCCATCAGGAGAGTAACAAATTGAATTAACTGTTTTTGAATGACCATCTAATTTGGCTTTTTATTATCCTGTCTTAACATCCCATAAACGGATAGACTTATCTACACTACCAGATGCTAATGTAGAACCATCAGGAGAGTAACAAATTGAATAAACTGTTGATGAATGACCATCTAATTTGGCTTTTTATTATTCTGTCTTAACATCCCATAAACGGATAGAGTTATCATAACTACCGGATGCTAATGTAGTACCATCAGGAGAGTAACAAATTGAAATAACACCATTTGAATGACCATCTAATTTAGCTTTTTATTATCCTGTCTTAACATCCCATAAACGGATAGAGTTATCTCCACTACCAGATGCTAATGTAGTACCATCAGGGGAGTAACAAATTGTATTAACTGTATTTGAATGACCATCTAATTGGGCTTTTTATTATCCTGTCTTAACATCCCATAAACAGATAGAGTTATCGTAACTACCAGATGCTAATGTAGTACCATCAGGAGAGTAACAAACTGAGCTAACCCAATATGAATGACCATCTAATTTGGCTTTTTATTATCCTGTCTTAACATCCCATAAATGAATAGACTTATCTGCACTACCAGATGCTAATGTAGTACCATCAGGAGAGTAACAAACTGAACTAACCCAATATGAATGACCATCTAATTTGGCTTTTTATTATCCTGTCTTAACATCCCATAAA